ACAGGAGGATACTAGATGTAAAGGATAACCAGACTGAAACTCACAATTCCAGGAGGGCTACCTAGTAAAGAGGACCCTAAGAAAGACACGGAGATTGCCCAATGACAGAGAAATGGATGAGATCTATATGAGCAAACTGGGGGTGGGGGTGGGGGTAGTGGAGGGCAAGGATCGAGGGAAAGAGAGCTTAGGGGAATGAGCGGGAGGTCCCAGCTGGATCAGGAGCAGAGTGGGAGAACTGGGAGGGAGATACCATGATGAATGAAGACGCTGGGGGAATAGGAAGAAGCAGAGTGCTAGAGAGGTCCCCAGAAATCCACAAAGATGACTCCACCATAGACTACTGGCAATAGTCAAGAGAGTGCCTGAGCTGACCTACTCTGGTGATCTGATGGCCAAACACCCTAACTGTCATGATAGAACTCTCATCCAATGACTGATGGAAGCAGATGCATAGATCCATGGCCAAACCCCAGGTGGAGCTCCAGGAGTCCAATCGGTGAGAGAGAGGAGGGATTATATGAGCAAGAGATATTGAGACCATGATGGAAAAAGCACAGGGACAAATAGTCAAACTATCTGAGACACATGAACTATGAACCAATAGCTGAGGAGCCCCCATGGAACTGGACCAGGCCCTCTGGTTAAGTGAGACAGTTGATGAGCTTGAACTGTTTAGGAGGCCCCCAGGCAGTGGAGCTGGAACCTGTCCTTCGTACATGAGCTGGCTTTTTGGAACCTAGGGCCTATTTGTTCAGCTTTGATGTAGGGAGGAGTGGACTGTAACTGCCTCAACTGAATCTACCAGGCTGGACTGGGGAGGCCTTGCCTTGGAGAAGGTGAGAATAGGGGAGGTGGGTTGGGGGGGAGGGGAGGCTGGGGGGTGGGAGGAGGGAGCACAGGGGAATCTGTGGCTGATATGTAAAATTAAATTAATTATAAAATAAAATATTTTTAAGAACCAATACTTGGTGTTTTTATTCTTATCTCAAAGCAAAAATAGTTGAAATAGAAAGTATGATAACAGTGCCTGGGAAGGATTTGTTGGGGTAGATAGAGAGGAAAAAATAAGGAGGCAATTGGATAGAAGAAACAACTAATAATCTTTTTAGCAACAGTAGCATAACTGAGGTGGGCAAAAAATGTTTGTTTCAAATCAGTCAGTAGAGAGGACTTTTGAATGTTTTTAAATACAACTCAGTTATAGATATTTGAAGTAAAATACATGAAATTTTCATAATACATTGTATATGTGTATTGAAATATCTCACTAAAGCCCATGAACATGGAAGGCCATGGGGAGAGGTGTATAGATGGAGTAGGAAATTGATATGAAATTTTCAAAGACTGAATAAAAATATTATTTAAAAGGTTAAAATCTTTTAATAAAAAATAAAGAACTCCATTGCTATTAAAACAACTTCAGAAGTTTCTTTCTTATATTTACACACTTTATCTTGCTTTTGACACATTCCAGGCAATTCAACTCAAAGAACATTCCACTTCTAGGTTACGAATCTTAGTTCACCATATATTTCAATCCAATAAAAGTCGTTATTAATGTTTCATAGTTAGAAAAATAAATTTATGTTTGCTATGAATTTGGTTAATATTCCTTATTTTATTTTCTGTATATCTATGTGCATCTCTGATCACTTTCTTTCTACTTCAAAAATACCCAGTTCTATTGTCTTCCAATATTCATGTTCCCTGGAAAATCTCACTGTCAACACTATGGACCTTTGTTTTCTTTTGTGATTTCTCTACCATTTGCATTTGTGGCAGTTTGGCAGATATGCCTAAGTGTGACATTCTTTGTGTATTTCTTAGCTGGGCATTGTAGAGCTTTTAGATACACACTTTTCTTATTTACAGTACCCTAGGAATTTCTGCTCTATTTCTCTCCTTCGCTCTCTAGATTTCTTATTATATTGTCAAATGAAATTTCCAACTGGCCTCAATTATCTCCTTTTCCTTTTCTAAATGTCTTAATATTTTTGCATTCTGGTTTGATCTCATATGCCCTTGTATAACCTCTTTCTGTCTACTTAGACTCTTTTCTGTTCTATCTATACTATTGTACTATTTGTGATTTCTAAACTTTATATATTTTTAATTAATAGAATTTAAATAAATGAAAATTTTTTATTAAAAACTGGAATTTGATTGTATGATTGTATGTATAATGTCCAGGACAATAATGAATTTTCCATGTTGGTATCTATTTTTATTTTGTTTTAGTTTTTCCTGACTGGGTTTTTTGTATAATAGTCCTGGTTGTTCTGGAACTCACTCTGTAGACCAGGCTGGTTTCAAACTCACAGAGACCCACCTGCCTCTGTCTCTGGAGTGCTGAAATTAAAGGCATGAGCCATTACACCTGGTATCTAATTTTAATATATTAGTTAATATTCTATTATTATTTTCAGTTTACATTTGTTAAATATAAATATCTGAGCTGTACTCTTGTTAATGGCTTTTTTGTTCAATTTTGAGTCATGTCTTCCTTCTGAGTTTTGAGGCATGGCATGGCAGTGCCATGACTTATGCCCACATAGGATCACACAGAGAACTGCTAGCTAAATGAATCAGGCACATTATAATTTTTGAATTGCTTTTCAATTATGCTAATTATATTCCCACTAAATACTATGTTTTCTACTTTTCCATGGCCTCAGGAATATATTCTTTGTTGCCAGAATTAAGGTTACTATCCTCATGTAAATTTTATCATGACTTCTGAAAGTCCTGTTCAGTTCTTAATAATTGTTACTCTACTAAAGATTGTGGTTATGTTGTAAATTTGTGCAGATGAGTGTGAACTAGGCAACAATCACTAATCACTTAAATCTAATTTTACATTGTTCACTTGTAGTAGTATAGGTTTTATTAAATTAAATCATATCCTATTAAATAAAATCAGATACTTTTGCTTTTATTATTAAGTTACATTTCAATGTTTTACCAAAATGAATCAATGCCTCAAAAACGGCTCATTAGATGGCGGGATTACACCAAAGTTATAATGATGTTGTTTTGAAAATAGGAGACCAAACAATTATGTAAATATAAAATATTCCCCAGACTGTGAAAGAATGAGTAAATTCAAAATATAAACATTTATATAAATGAATGACAACCCAAAAGGGAGAAAATGCATTGGTGGGGATCATGATTCTCTGGCATTTTGGGTTATGTCAGGTTTCCAGTCCCTTTTTCCTTTTCTTGCTTGCCTTGTCTGAGGATAATGTGGCATTGAGATCTTTAATAGACTGCTGGCAATGGTCGAGAGACAGCCCGAACTGAATTACTCTGGTGATAGGATGGCCAAAAACCCTAATTGTCGTGCTAGAAACCCCATCCAATGACTGAGGGGACCGGATGCAGAGATCCATGGCTAGGCCCTGGGTGGATCTCCGGGAGTTCAATTGTCAAGAAAGAGGAGGGTTTATATGAGCGAGAATTGTTGAGACCAAGGTCGGATAAAGCACAGGGACAAATAGCCAAACAAATGGAAACACATGAACTATGAACCAGTGGCTGAGGGGCCCCCAACTGGATCAGGCCCTCTGAATAGGTGAGACAGTTGATTGGCTAGGTCTGTTTGGGAGGCATCCAGGCAGTGGGACCAGGTCCTGTGCTCAGTGCATGAGTTGGCTGTTTGAAACCTGGGGCTTATGCAGGGACGCTTGGCTCAGCCTGGGAGGAGGGGACTGGACTTGCCTGGACTGAGTCTACCAGGTTGATCTCAATCCTTGGGGGAGTCTTTGCCCTGGAGGAGATGGGAATGCGGGGTGGACTGGGGGGAAGGGGAGGGTGCAGGAGAGGGGAGAACAAGGGAATCCGTGGCTGATATGTAGAATTAAATTATATTGTAAAGTAAAATAATAAAAAAAGTTGCACAAATGGGTATAGTGTCAGGAATTTGAGTGTTTTATAATATTCTTTGTCCTGAACTCTGTAGGTGGATTTTTCATCGAGCCATTGGCTCCCCAATAATGACATGGAGAATTATTATTAATTATGGAAGATTGGCTGATAGCTTAGGCTTGTTTCTGACTAGCTCTTATATCTTAAATTAACCCATTTCTATTAATTTACTTTTTATCTCATGACTTTATTACCTCTTCTCCATAGTGTCTATCCTTCTTGCTCTGCATCTCATGGTGTCTTCTTCTTCCCAGCATCCTCTCTATCCTGAATATCCTGCCTAGCTATTGTCTATTCATTTCTTTATTAAACCAATCACAGTGATACATCTTCACAAAGTGTAAAGAAATATTCCACAATATTTTCCCCTTCTTGTTCAAATAGGAAAGAAATGTTTTAACTCTAACACAGTAAGACTATATACAATAAGAATTATCAGGTATTATTTAAATAAAAATGAAAGTTTAATTCTAACATAGTAAAACTATATAGAATAAGAACAATTATCAGGTAAGAATTACATTCACAATGTCCAGGTCACTTGTATTTGGCATATTCAAAGAAAATACTCTATTATCTATCTTATCTTGATGACTTTAAAGTTTTATAGCTAAATAATTTTATTATGAATTGTATTACTATCTTAAAACTACCTTTTTAGAACTCAAAATATTTTTAGATAAACAATTTAAGCTTTTATGTCTCTCGACATTATAAACTTTATATCTCTCATGTAAGTTTCTTTTCTGAATTAATAACAAGGAAAACTGTAAAACTTTATTTAGTCTTCAAACAGATATAGTTGAAGGCCATTTTTGGCCTATGGGCCTAGAATATCTTACAGACTTTTCTGTGAAGCAGGAATTTTTGAAGGACTTTCCTACCCTGTCTTGACAAAGTTTGGCAGTCACTTTCTTTTGTGTCTTGCTTGTCCAGTTTGGACAGCCTACTGTCAGCAGTTGAGGCAAGGGCAGTTTCTTGCCCAATTGGCTAATTTTGTCACATTGGAAGCAAACTATGATGGGGGCTCTCTGATGCCCATCTTCTTCTCTGAAGTAGATTGATGCTGCCAGAAGCAGACGTGTCTCATTGTCATGAAAAGCCTTATGTTATAAAAATAGTTTAAATGCCATACTCTGTAGATTAAGTTTTTGAAGACCACCTGTCTACTTAAACTATATCTGTTTGACCTGAAAACATATCTAAAATGACTATAAGTTTGATTGTTATAGATGACTAACTAATAACCTGTATTTCTTTAATATCCTAAATACCTTTCAAAGACTAAAACTTTACATAACCTATTAAAATGAGCTGCATAGGTACAATATCTTAAATAAGAGTAGAAACCTATATACAGTATAACAAAATAATCTTAAATTTGTATCAATATGTGAAAATCCATACCAATGTAAAATATTTGAGTGTTTTTTTAAAGTAGTGGTTGTTTGAAAGTAGACTCAACAATCCATCCTTTTACCCCATCATTACTATATGATATCCCCCTATTTCCCTACAGAAAGATATTCCTGAATCTAATCTCCTTTGTTTAGCTTTCTCCCTGACCATGACCAGTAACAATTTGTAATCAACCACCCTAAGTACAAATATCCAAAACCCACTGAATGATCAAAAACTACCCATCCCACCTCTTTAGAGTGTGGGTGTTGTGTTCTCCAGGCTACTTCCTGTTATCTGGGGGTGTTGACATCTTTGGGGGAACCTGAGAAAATTAGGATAATGGTCAAGTCCTGGCTATATTAGTCTGTGGGGCTGGACCATCTCAGCCAGCAGCCTTGAAGCTGTTGTGGATGCAGAACTCTGAGGAAACTGCAACAGAGGAACTCTGAGGGCTGGACCTCACGGGCCATCTGTTTGAATTAGTGTTTGGTCCTCTTGCTCTGAAAACACACAAACTTTCAAAGGTAACATACATATCTACATTAACAGAAGAATGGATTGTGCACTGTACACAAGCTAGCCAAAGGTGATTTTTTGTTTTATGTTTGAGCAGAAAAAATATATCTCACCTGTCTTATAGTTTTTCTAGATTTTATTTCTTTATGTCTTTATGCCAAGATTTTCAAGGGGTCTTCCAGATCAAACCTGATCTCTATCAACCTTGAATGAATCCACAGATTTTCATTTTCTGTGGAAGCAAAAGCATAATCTCTTCCCCAATATAATATATATTTTTTATGTTTTATTTATATTTTTTATTTATATATAATATTATATAATTATTTATATATTTTAAAAAATAATATATTTTTTACTTCTGTTTTGAAGTTAAGCTATTTTTTAAATATATTAATTTAATTTAGTATTTAATTTAGTCAATATGTTGGTTTAATTTAGTAGTTTTTATAATCCATTGTCTCTCAGAAGCTATTGTTTGCTCAGTAGCAATCAAAAAATTTAAATTCACTACAACACCATACAGGATCCAGACTCCCCATATATTTCCCCTCTCTAAGTGGCTTATTATCATTTATAAATGATTTACTGTTTTCTATGACTGACTATACCCATTTTACTTTTTCTCTCAAAGCTGTGCACATTTTTAAACATACTATAACCTGTTTAGAATTTTTCTTTCATGTCTGGACCTGTATTTATTGAGTACTTTCAGTGCTATTGGATCATGTGAAACAAATCTTAAACTGCTATGCTAGCTGTTGGTGTGGCTCAGTTTAGCACATGGTGCTGGCAGCTGGCTCCAGCCTGTAGGTGGTCTCTGTATGCCAAGTCTACCTGAGAGACCTCCATGAACAGGAAACTATGCCAGGAAGCTATGTTTGACTCCATGTTTTAAACTTTAAAAAAAAAAAAAAAAAAAAAAAAAAAAAAAAAACTTTCTGAGGATATACTTGGCCAGACTTTGGTTGCCATATATAGGCTAATTTTTTTTGGGGGGGAAATAATCAGCTACCCCATAATGACACAGAGACTTATTGTTAACTATGAAGACCTGGCCATTAGCTTAAGTTTGTTTCTGACTTGCTCTTATAACTTAAATTAAACCATTTCTATTAATTTACTTTCTGCCTTGGGGCTTTATTATCTCATCTTCATATTGCCCATCCTGCTTGCTCTGTGTCTCTGGTGTCTCCCTCTTCTTCTTCCCAGTGTCCTCTCTGCCCAGAAAATCCTGCCTAGCTATTGGCCATTCAGCTCTTTTTCAAACCAATCACAGTGACACATCTTCACACAGTGTAAAGGAATATTCTACAACAGGACTCATTCTCCCACATTGAGCATAATGCCAAAATACTGTGTTAATATTTAGGGATTATCAATACATTTGAGTTCTAATTATTACTAAGATTGTGAAGCAAACAGAAAGTAGTAACTTTCAACCTGATGTTGCCTTGATGAGTGATTATCTGCCGAGGATTGGCTATTCCAAACTAAACTTGGTTAAATTATTTTGTTGCAAGTAAAGAGGAAAAGGATATATATATTCTATATGCATATTTCCAAATTTACCTAAGTAGAAATAAATTTATTCTGAAATTAACTTATTTTACCTGAATTCATTCACAGGTCTCTAATTGAATGGGATGTAAATGAAAGAAACACTGATTTAATTTTATTTTAAATTTAGAATTATTTTAGGCAGTTTACCTAATAGAAGATGGTCCTTACCTACCCATCATAAGTCCACAGTCATTTTCCTCTTTTTCTAAGCCCTATGATGCCTGATACTATCTAAAAATTCCTCAGGAGCATTTACTATTTGGTGTGCTGAAACCTCCATCTCATTGTCTTGCTTCCAGACCTCACTAAAAATGTTCCCGAGCACTTTCTTCAATGGTATGAGCACTGGGCAGGCAGCCAGCAGTGTTAGTGCATGGAAGCCAGGTAGCTGTCAGAGGGGCTGTGGCAGCATGTCTAATTTTGCTGTATTAAACCTGTCACAAAATGTTAAGTAAGAGATTACGGGAAGTATGCATAGAACGCATGGTTTATAACTTAATAAACGTGTAGTGCTGGGAACAAGCTAAAGCCTCTCTCTTTTATCTTCTCTCTCACTTGGCTTTGCCAAGCTTTTTTAAACCACTGGCTAAAAGAACGAGTGAAACAGTAGAAAATTTTTCATGAGTCCAAGAAAGGTCTCCCCTAAGCAGTAGCCATACCAACTATCTACAAATACCCCTGAAGCTAATAATGTTTAAATCAGAGTATAGGAGAATATGGATGTAGAAGTTAGGAAAATAATAAGGGACCACATTAGGGATGCAGGTGAAGTGGGCTAAAAAAACAGGCAATGGGAAGGAGTAAAGGGGTAATGGAATGATAAGGATTAAATGGGATAGGAGACAGGAAGGAAGGTTAGAGGAGAGGATATGGGAGGAATAACTAACTCCAAGACATTTGAAAACGCAAACAGAAGCTTGCTATTGTAGATGCTTTCTAAAACATGTACATGTGCATGCGAAAAAGGAGTTTGAATGGAGTTATCCTATAACAGGAGTGAAGGGAAGATGCCACTTCCAAACATCATAGGCTCTCAGATTAAAGGCTCAATACCAGGTATGGGTTACTTTCTTTTGGTGATGTTGGTCAGTGGGATCCCTCCTACCATCATAAACATGCTCTTGTCTACAAGCTATTGTTATTCCTCTCGGTTCTTCTAGAATGTGATGGTAAGACCCTATTGCTGAAGACGAGATATATTTGAGTTATATGACATGGAGAAACTGTATCTTCACATTATTTCTGTTGCAAAGGCCAAAAGATATTCCAATATGCATTTTTATGATAGATGATGCCCTTGGCCTTAGAACTAGATAATATTTGCTAACATTTCTCCCTCTCCCCCACTTCTTTCTCTATTTTTCACCTTTCTGTTTGAGACAGTGTCTCATGTAGCCCAGGCTGGCCTTAAACTCCTTGTATAGATAGAAATTCTCTTGAATTTCTGATCCTCCTGCATATGCCTCTGACATGCTGTGACTATGAGCCTATGTCACCATGCCTGGCTCATATAGCGCTAAAACTAGACCCTAGGGCTTAATGCATTCTGGGTAAGAATTCTATTGACTGAGCTGTCTCCCAAGCTTCTCTAAGACAAATCTTACAACTGTGCTCTAATTTTACAACAAAGCAGAACTAGGGTTCAACTCTGAGAACTACATTTATAGCTCACCTGTCCTCACAATTTGTTATTATTATGGTATAAAGTCCCTTTCGTAGGAGATACTAATCTAGTATCTATACTGCGACTTATTTTGCACTTATACTTTCGATGTAAATGCAAAATCCCAGGCTGAAAAAAGACAGATCTTTGCTTAAGAAGAACTTGGTATGCTCATTTAGAGACGTGTGTGTGTGTGTGTGTGTGTGTGTGTGTGTGTGTGTGTGTTAACTTGTGTTCTGTATTTGTGTGTGTGTATTTTAACTTGTGTTCTGTGTTTGTGTTTGTGTGTGTTTTAGAGAGAGAGGGAGGGAGAGAGAGAGAGAATTAGAGTGCTCTGGCTGTGACAGGATAAAATGTATCACTAGATATTCAGACACCATGAAACAAACACCTTTCTTGTAACTACTCAATTTTCTTGGAGTGGCATTGCCATGGAAATTGTGCCACTGAACTATTGAGAAAAGCCATTCTCTGAGCTAGAAAGCAAAGAAGATCTTGTGAAACTCATAAATTAACATTTGGAAGAAGATTAATGCATCATAATCTCACTCCACTTTATATATTCAACCCTCGAACTTGTGTTTAGACAAAATGAAACAACAAAGACCCACAAACCCCCACTCTGTCCTAGAAATACAACCGTATGATGCTGTTTATTATTTTATACAAGGATTTCTAGTTATTTATGAGTGATCGGAATTTTAAGTTGTGTATACATTAACTTGGTTCTCTTAAGGGGCAAGAAGCAAATTATGTATTTTGGATACAGTTGTATGTCTACAAATTATGGGCTCCTGTGCTTTGGAGACTTTAGTGTTTCAAATGTGAACTCCCTGAGTTGAGATTCCATTGAATGGTCCTCTTTGGTTTCTTTTTGTCAGTCATGTTTAACACAAAAAATAAAAAATGCAACCCTACAGATGCATTTGAAAGCTGCCAAAGAATTTCTGAAAGAATATAAGTTTTCAAGTAATCATCAAATATTAAGTATGATGTCCCACATACCTGTGTATGATATGTGGGGTTATGGAAATCAAGGGTTTGTTCATTAATCATTTAATATATAATTTGTGGACATACATTGACTTGTCTATCCTTCACCTGCTGTAAGAAGCTAACACGTAATAGTAA